ATGTTTGTGCAGATCCTTTAAAATACTCTGCAGTTTGCCCTGTATGACGAATAAATAAATATTTCTATTAGTGGACATTTACCGTTCAACTAACCAACAACTAATGAGTGACGAGAGTGAAAATTCGGACCTAGAAGAAGCTTGGCGAATAGGATGCTCAGCTATAATACCAGAAAAATCGAAGGAACGATATGAAAATACGTATGGACTTTTCCGGAAGTGGTTTGAGGAGAAAAGTGGAAAAAATATCGATGAAAAAATCCTGATGGCCTATTTCGTACAAAGAAATCAACAGCTAAAAGCGCCGGGCAGTTTATGGGCTGAATACTCGATGTTGAAAGCCACAATTTTTCTACATCATTCCATTGATATTGCTAAGTTTTTGACGTTAATTACATTCTTAAAAAGGAAAAATATTGGACACAAACCAAAAAAGGCTAGCGTTTTCACAAAGGAAGAAATGTCCAGATTTTTATTAGAGGCACCAGATGATATTTTTTTAATTCAAAGGTAAATTGGCAATAATAATTTCCATTTTATGTATTAATATTTCATATTTTATTTTCAGGTAGGAATGATATTAGGTGTGTCAGGTGCCTGTAGGAGGGAGGAACTATATAATATAACTCTAAATGATATCGAGGATCGAGATTCCTTCATTATAGTGAAAATTCCCAACACCAAAACACACATTCAGCGGTTATTTACAATTACCAATGTGGAAAATGAAACCATTCATTATTTGGAGATTATTCGAAAATACATTAGGCTTAGACCAAGCGACGTAAAATCTGCACGAATGTTTTTAAATTTTCAGAAAGGAAAATGCACTAAGCAAGTGGTAGGGAAAGGCACAATTGGTAAATGGCCCATGATAATAGCAAAATATTTAAAATTAGGAAATCCAACCGATTATACTGGTCATTCATTCAGACGTACTTCAGCTACGCTTTTGGCCAATAAAGGGGTGGATATTTTAGGATTAAAAAGACATGGTGGCTGGAAATCTTCAGCCGTAGCTGAAAGCTACGTTGAGGACTCACTGCAAAACAAAATTGAGTTTGCAGGAAAAATTTTACATGGCAATACTGATTCTTCTTCAGCAAATTCCACGTCTGTATCATGTGCAACATTTTCAGTTAATGCGAACGATCCTGACAAAGCCACACTCCCTATTACTATTAAAAATTGTGATAACTGTACGTTTAATTTTAATGTTAATAAATAAAATATTTGTGTATTCTTTTTTTTGTATAGTTTTTCATTTTTATTTCTGGATGATCTAGGATAAATTTCCGAACATGACTAATATTACTTACCGTTCTAGAACGGTAAGTAATTCACTTACCGTTCTAGAACGGTAAGTAATTCACTTACCGTTCTGTCAGCCTTGCCAACCAGTAAATACAACATACCGACGTCAAAACACTGTCGGTAAATAATCAAAATAGTCAAGTCGTACAAAAGTAATTTAAAGTAAGCTTACAACCTAAAAAGTCAATGTTCGGTACATTCGTAGCAATATCACCAGATCCAGAAGCTCCGAGTTAATTCTGCTGTGGCAACCAATCATCACTCCACCTCCCCTGGAGACATTCATCAAATCAGTTCTTCTATCGGAGCGGTAAACTATGTAAGAGTCTGGAAAGAGTTCTGAGTCCAGATCATCAGGCTGAATATTTCAATTATTATTATTCCTATACTATAGTGCGTTATATTTGCTTTATAGGTATCTCAAAAATTAACTTAACTAAAAATTACAAGTTAAGATTCGTTTTTTTAGGAGAGGTGAAACCATTTATACCCAGAATGAATCAAAATTAAGAATAAAACTCCAATTTATAGTTGTAGTAGAACTCGATCAACTTCAACTAATGGGGAATCAAGAAAATCTTTCTACTTAATTAGAACAAACTCATTCAGGGTTCGAGGTCCGGCGATCCCCGAGAATTGTCAAATTGAGTAGGTATATTTTCACATTTTTTGGTTCCAATCAACACAATATTTGAACCGTCATATTTGTGCTATTTACTCAGATAAACAATAAACCATCTTTAGGGTTTCGAGGAACTTTTTTAGAGAGATCATTTTCCATCGGATCGGGAGCCAGTAGAAGCCAGATCCTTAAAAGAAGCTGAGTTCAATATATGGATCCTAAGTGCATTTTTGACTAAGATTTTGCTAGAAGTATCTTTTTCTGCATCTGCTGAAACAAAGCCTTCACTGGAACTTGAAGCTGAAGCTTGCAGTAACCATAATTTATTTAACGGTTTTCCTAATTTTGTGATTGAGTATGTTGAATCAGTTCCATGAAACTTATGAACCCATTTTTCTTGTGGCGGATTTATATTAAAAATGGTTTTAAATCGTCTTCTGGTATAGATTTTTTTTTTGGATCTTTTGGTACACGCGAGGGCCCTAAGCTCGAGCAGCGTCCCTTCTCAAATAGATCCACTATCTGTATCGCATGATCTTCTCGAAAAGTTCGATATAATAACAGGGAGCCCATATACCTTCATACTCAATCCATGCCGTAACAGAGAGACATAACGGCTCAAAGCTCGTTAATACACAACTTGCTCTAAACCGAGAATCAAACGCTAGAATTTCATTAGCATTAGTAGAGATTAGAGTTTTTAAATTAAAGTGATTTAAGCCACTTTTAGGTTTACAGCTAGCGCCATCTCATTTATGCATCCTGTACAAATAAGCCTATGAAAGAAGACGCCTACAATTTGCTTAGACAAGAAAGGAGAGCGTTAGGAAATCGCGAATTTGATACTACTAGTGCCATCTATCAAGTGCGCTTAGAATTATGGATCGACTCGATTCAGCCAAAAAGAAGGCAGTTGAAATTCACAGAGATTCGTTCATGTTCATTCCCAATTTGTGACTATTTCTGAGGCCTCATCATAGAGGCGCTACTAAAACCGAACTTTAAACTTGGATATTTTGGCGCCTCAACCCAATCAAATACAGAATTAAATTGGATTTTTAAGATCAAACTATACCATAGATTCACAATGGAGACATGAAAAAGATATTCTATTAACAATTGCCTTTTAAAAATAGTTAGGTAACAATTTGTAGAACCGATGATGGCAGTATCATTCTCATCATGGGCTCTATAAGTTAAAAGATCCCTTATCGTTACTAAAAGCACGCCGGAAGAAACGAAGTGACAAAATAAGTGCCAAATATCTATACGTGTATTAACCATTAATAAAAATTTATCAATAAACTATAGATACTGGATTAGGTTGTTTTTAGATTTCAATGTCTCGACCCATAAATTGTCTTTAATTAGAATTCTCCCTTGCCTGAAGACGAGACAGTTATACGGGCCTGTTTTGACAATCGTCTCAAAATAACCACTCGCAACTCGAGATTTTCTTATTTTGTCAGCGTCTTGACACAGGGGGGTCTAAATCTCCGTTGGGATAAAGCCGTTTGATCCATTCACACTTACATTAAACTTGTCCAGGCTGGATTGCATTCATAAAGTTTGGTTGAAAAAAGGATGTTGAATTTAAAATTAGGTTTTTCCGGCGTTTCGATTGAAAAAATATTGATTGCTATAAGCAATTCTGAAAAAAATTGAATAAGTTTTTTGGTTTATTTTCATTTCAATTTCACAGAAGCCTCCTGAATATGTACCTACTAACAAGGGAATTGGAAAAAAAACTAAAATTCAAGACTTATACTTCAGAAAAATGATCATCAACATGTTACAATTTAAAAAAAAATATATGTAGAGCTTCTGGAACATTGATTAAAATTTTTCAGGAAATTAAAAATTATATTTTTTCTTCCATCCTGCAGGAGGGATGGAATTTATGGAACATTATCAAGCTTATCCCCGACCATCAATTGGACAGAAAATATAAAAAAGAATAACATTCAGTCAGAATCCATTGAACAAAAAATTGAATAGATCTTTGTAAATGTATGCTTCTTGTGCGTGGATTGAGTGGCTTGAGAAAAAAATCCACATAATATAATGAAAAATGCAAAGTTTCAGCTACAATTTTTTTCAGTTTTAATAAAATATTTCAATGACCATTGATTGAAAAAAAAAAAAAATCCGAAAAAGACTTGACATTGCAGCAATTTCTCTTACAAACATTGGTACCAAACCTAAAGAGTTTCATGAGAGAATGATTGAGACAGCTTCCCTAAATTCCTCCTCCTATAATCTCACACAATCTTACATGCACTTTTTCGCGATTTGGGCCCCCCCACACTAGGATAACAGGAACATTGTCAACGTTAAAATTTGAATGAAAATACTGGTGGATTCAAGAAAACCTAAGACTTCAAATTGATAAAAATATTTGATTTGGAGAAAATATAAGTATGAAATCAACGTGTGAAGATCGTCTAAAACCTAATATAAAAAAACGAACAAATGTTAAATTTATTATTTTTCAAAAAATCCATCAACTCTTCGGTGTCAAGACAATAATGTTTGTTTGACTTGTTAAAAGCCACCATCTCAAATTACAAATTACAACGACTCTGTTTACGTTATGTGTGTATGTTTGAATTTCCAGTAGCTTCAGTTAATAAATACATAAGCTCCCATTGTATACAATAGAAAAAAAAATGTTTATTTATTTTAAGTTTTCTGGGATGTTCCTGTGACACCCTATAGAACCCGACAATAATGGTGCGTCTTTGTCGCACATTTTTATTACTTTATTTCTTGACAAACAAGTGAGAATTTGATATTTCTGAATAAATTTGAGTATACCTAATATGGATGCCTGGCGATACACATGAGTACCTACTTAGCAGAATTTTTTTTTTCCTAGGCCAATCAAAATCAGAGAAAAAATATCAAATAAATTGTAACCCTAGTTCTGGATTTTTGCATAGGGGCAGGAAGTGGAATGACCTGACAACATGGTAATAAAGTTTCTCATCTTTTCGAGGGACAACTACTATGGAGCTTGCCCATTCAGCATACCTCACAGGTGTTAAAATCCCTTTTTTTTTACCATATCGTCCAACTCCTGATCAACCACTGGTTTGAGTGCATAGGTTACAGAGTATACTTTATGAAAAACCGGTGTAGCATTATCCTTAACAACCATTTGTGCCTTGATACCTTTAATAACTCCATTTAGACTGAATACATTTGGATAATTTTTATTTAATCTGGAAATGAAAGGATCATAATTAATTACATATATTATTACAACTGGCAATAATTGGACACAAAGAAAATCTCCAATTTGGGAATAAAATGTCTAGCCAACCCCTGCCCATTAAGCCAATAAAATGTTTGGTTGATCTTACAACTATCAACTCTAACTTATGAGTTACCCCTGAATGATCATTCAACCTGACAGAAACAAAATTTTTACCAATTACAAAAAGTACATCTCCAGCAACAGTCTTTATGATAGTTGAACAGTAACTTGTGAACACTTTTCCCTGTACTCAATTTCTGACAACACTTGCCCCAGTATCTACCACCATTTGAATTTTAATTCCCTCAATATATACAGTTTTAACTAATGCATTATTAGCATAGTTTACCTGCTGTACGTTGCTAATCTTCAAAGGAAGTCATATTCTTGACACTCATCTTTTTGCGGCATACTCTTTCAATGTGGCCCTGCTTGCCACAGCCTACAATTCCACTTGGCCTCTGGACAAGAAGCTGGATTGTGGAATCGTCCGCATCGATAACATTGACGGAATTTTTCCTTTACTGCATTAACATATTGTTCTGGCCTCTGTTTAGCTAAATTTAACTGCTTCAACTCTGAAACCATAACTTCCATAGCCACAGCAGTTTTACAAACCTCAGAAAAAGTTAATTTTTCTATGCTCAACAATTTTTTTTGAATATCTTCTCGCACAAGACCACAAATCCATTTATCTCTCAATGCATCATCTAAAAATGAATTGAAATCACAGTGCTGTGAAGCATTTCTAAGTCTTACAGTAAAATACACCGACTCATTGTCTGATTGCTGCCGCTTGTAGAATTTAAAACGTTCTGCAACAACCAATCGGGGGGGGTGAAAAATGCTTTTAAAGCACCTCGACAGCTTCGCCATATGTAGGATTCGATGAATGGCGGGAAGCAACCAGATTTTTCAGAATAGCATGGCTCTGTCCACCAATTAATGTGATAATATAACTCAACTTACGACCATCTGAAACCTCATTGACAATGAAAAAATGCCTCATTCTTTCCAAGTAACTTCCAAAACTGGACCCTGCACTACTGGGGTCATAGGGCTCGATCGACCCAATTAATGCTGCCATCCTCGTCGCCAAATGTAATGTTTTAAATTAGAATCAATCAAACTCTTTGTTCAGACTTTGTTGCTGCCAGAGATGTTGCTGCTTTTTTATGCAAACTATATTGTCACTAGGAAACAATAATAATAATAATACAAACGATTAATCTTTTGTTAATGCATAAACAACTAGACTAACTTTCTACTTCAAAAGTTCATAAATGTCAACGGGTTAAACAAACATTGTCAAACAAAGAGATCCGAACTTGCCTAACTAAACACTAAACTAAAATCTATTCTAAAAACATAACAGTAAATAAATCAACCTTTCCGTTGTTAAGAAAATGATTCTGCTGAACAGTGCCTATCATGTTTTTTTCAAACTTTATCTTCACTGATGTTTTTGTTGTACTTTTCAGCTTCTGTTCTTGACTCTTTATGGAATTCACATCTTCATATCCTAAGTTGTGTCACATATTGCTCACTTCATTCTATAATAAGACGAAGCCATTACCCACTCCCACTACATTGTAACTCGTTTTGAGGTTAACCACTGTACTGCTTTGTACACAGGAAAGCCATCGTACGCAGGGGATTTCTTTATTTTTTTCATACTCCCTCCATTGAAAAAATCTATTGAGTTTGGGGTTAACTGATACTTCATGAGATCATTGAGATCTGCGACATTTCGTTCATTTTTCTCACTCACCATTCATTGTTTCGAAAATCAGGATAGGGACTACCACCACCATTGCCAGTGGCGTAGCCAAACCAAACGTGGACGTCGGCGACATCCGAATTGCGAGACCCTATTTAATGAAGGGGGGGGCCATATTTTTTGTGACAAAAAACTGGATATAAGATATAAAGACGGGGACGGGTAGCCGCCGGTAGTTGTAAGAACCCCCACTATGTCTTTAAATTATAGCGAGGGAAAAAACAACTTCAATTTCGCAAAAACATAAACAATAGAGCGCCGACCGGCTGCCAACCCAGCGCAGAAAGGACGAGGAAGTGGAAATGTTTAATTTCCACTTTTTTTCGTTCTTCTTTCTGACTTGTGGGGTGGTACCTCAGAGGAATAAAAAACAATAGAGGCCGTTATTTACATTTTGACGAGGTGCCAGTGAGAAAGCATAGTCTAAACGATCAAGTCTAAACGCCATCCTAGACGAATCAACATGTTGCCAATTATATTTTGGAAAAAACCTTTATTGAACTTCTCGTCGAATAAATAGGGAAAAAATGCCTTTTCAAATTTAATAAAAGTGCAAATAAACTGAGTAACTAGAAAAACTCCTCAATGCAGATTTTTGATAATTTCAAGTTGTTTACTTTAGTAAGAAAAGAGCTTAGAAAATATTGTTATTATTCAAGTATCCTTATTTATTTTTCAACGTGACAACATCGCATAGTAAAACGGCGTCAAAGCTGACAGTTAACGTCAGTTTGATTGTGCCTTGTTACCTTTTGTTAGAAAGCATCGTGAAATCGTTTTTGTAAGGTTTTTCTGATATTTTATGTTTGGAAAGTGAATTATTTGTGTGTTTTAAGACTAATATTATACAGCAATATGGTTAGACAGTGTCAAATGTGTGAAAAATTGGATTATTTGAACCCGGAAATTTCATTTCATAGGTAAGTAGGGGGTTATATTATGCAAAGCAGTGGCCACAGATTAACCCGTCCTAAAGATAGGAAACTCAGGCCTTTTTCCCTATCCTTGTCTTACTCATGCAACAAGTTGTATGACTGCCACAGCATGGTAGGCGCTAGTGTGCATTTCGGTGTGTCCAGTATGGGCACTTTCCAAATTTCACCGATAAATAGACCGGTTAAATAAACCGGTAGCTGTCAAAAAATTCCGGTAAAAGTTAGGTGTAAGTCCGGTTACAAAATTTTTCTGATGCATTTTGGAACGCTTTGGTGTGTTAAAATTTGGTTGTGACAGTTGTGTTGTGACAATTTAACGAACGACTGCCGATAGTGCCCATTCAAAGCAATTGATGTATGTCAAAAAATCTCCAACCGAAAAAACCGACAAAAATTCCCGGTGGATCTGGTGCCTCACCGGTTTCAAACAGCTGATCATTCCGGTCAATTTTGGAACGAACGATCTGGTTCAACCGGTAAAAAGTCGGTACATTTTGGAACGGTTTGGTGAGTAAACTATTAAACCGGTGTTCCGGTGTTGCACCGGTTCAGAAACCGGTGAATTTTGGAAAGTGCCCTATCGTGGCAGTAGTCACGTGGTACGTGGTTCCCGCATTTTTTCAAATAATCTGTCTAATCAATTTCATCAAATGTCATTGATTTCATCTCATTATTAAACCCTATATTTTGAAAATAAAACAACATTTCAGTACTATCTCCTTCTTTAACAGAACAGTCTTTAATACAACACAACAACAGAAAACCGTATTGAAAAAAAAAAACACTAAAAAGTTGTTAATAGGTTTTGAGCACAAATGACTCCTCAGACTCCTTAAGTGGATGTCAAAAATTGCAAATAAATACCATCACTAAAACCATTTCCACATAAGGTCTCTTTTGTGAAAAACATTATCAAGAAGTTAAAGTTTTACCAAAAATTGATAGAAAATCAAATAAAGAACACTAACACACATCAAACGGCTGACTAATGGCAAATATAATGACAAATTACATTCATTCACAGATGACATTTGCTTGTGGATTTGCTATACTAGCGCCGCATAGCTTTGGCAGTCATGAAACTCTCATACGTGTTATTTTTTAGACAGCTCCGAACGAACATTTTACATGGAAGTTTCCTATCTTTAGGACGGGTTAATCTGTGGCAGTGGCGTAGAATAGGATATAATGTACCTATACTTCGCCAGAAAAATATTCCAAGATTGAGGAAATTAGTTACCAGTTGTTAATTTTGATAATTTTTTCTACGAACTTCTGTAGGAAAAATCCAAGCAGAATAATAATAATCCTTATGCTTGATAAAAGTTAAATATGCGTCTTTGTAGGATTCCAACAAATCCAGAGTGCAGGCGTATATGGATTTGCCTTCTAGGATTAGAAAATAAGCGACTACCCAAAATCACTGATGTGTGCTCAGATCATATTAACCTCAATGATAATGCACTAGGCCTAATGGATTTAGATATTTGAAATCTGGTTCGGATTCTTCACCTGTTTCCAATCTTTTTAATACTTCAAAGTAAGTTGGTTATTTTATATTTGATATAATTTCTACATATTAACTACATTAATTTCCAGTTCAGACCTCAGCTCAGACTCTTCAGTCACAGAGTCTCCAGTCTCCTCCAAAAACAAAAGTAGTGTAAGTTGGTTTGTAATAACAAAAAATATTGAATTATTGCTTATATTATGCAGACTACAAAAAATGAATTGGAATGATTTTATAATCCAAAAAGAAGATACAAAATATTATCCTGATTAAAAAAGTTATGTGATTTTAACTATTTAGTTCAGTTTCCAAGCTCAAAATTCAATATTTGTCAGATAGGGCAAAAACACTTATTAAATCATTTTAGATTCCAGGGACTGCGTGTACCCCATGTATCCTGATGTTCCTCCAGGCCTGTGGTTGAAATCGTTAATCGGGAGAGTCATGTGTTTGACAAGAAAGTTGTTTCTGGAGGGTTCGTATTTTTTATTGGTGTATAGGATGCTACATAGGATTTTATTCGGTTTTGAAATTAAAAAGAGTCAGTGTTAATCATATATGCGCCTACCTACTTGCTCCGTTATAATTTTTTCTTTTTAGAATTTTCGATGCTCCAAGTACTTTCAAATGCTTGACAGCGCTCTCTCAGTCCTCATCAACTACCTCAACAGTTTCAGAAACTGAGGAACAAATATTGAAGAATGTAGTCTCATAATACGTAGGGACCTTTTTTGTATTAT